CATTTGTGGAATATAATGAACAACATAAGCTGATGAACAAGGACTGATCCAGAGACGGAGAGGCATTGATTGGACTGTCGGGACTTGGAGGGAAGGTAGGGGAGGGTGGGGGTAAGGGGGAAAGATCAACCAAAGGACTTATATGCAAGCATATAGGCCTAATCAATGGACATGGACAACGGGGGGGAGAGGGCATGAGCGGGGGGGGGTGGGGGGTGGGGGGGGTAGAGGGTAACGTGGGGACAAGGACACATATGTAATATCTTAATCAATAAAAAATATATTAAAAAAAAAAAAAAAGATTGATAAGAACCTCTCCTTCTGAAGAAGGAGGATCCATGCTGGGAAGTAGTAGGAGGTGACACTGGCTACACAGTGGATCCAGAGTATGAAGACCTTGATGCCTGTGACAGTAGAGGCTCCCCTGGAACATCGCATGAGAGGAACATGATAAGAAGGAATTAAAACTGCCAGTTGAAGGGAGAATCACCAAGGGCAGGCTGACCAGTTACAAACCAAGGTAGGAAGCCAGTGAGACCATGGGCACCAGCAAGAGGAATGAGCATCTACCTTCTTCAAAGGGTTACAACGAAAGAGAAGAGTTCAGATTTGATTTTGGTTTGCAATTTGTAACTGTGTGAACAGTAGGGCTGAGTTTAAGGTCATAGTGGGGCACCAAGTGAAATCAACTTATAAATAGTTGGGAGGGTGGGGAATGCACTCAAGCCAAATTTGGATAGAATGCAATTGGAAGTAGACTTTTGGATCTGAAGAATCACTGCCAGCTAGCTGCAGTTTCTCTCTATTATTTCAATAGTCTCTCAGTCATGTGACTGAATTTCCTCAACATTGCTTATAGGATCACTCTCCTTCCTCTTTAACAGACAGATCCAACCAGAACATATAAGTAAAATAATGCTAACTATGGCCTTAGTGATCTAAAGGAAATATTGCAATTTTCGAAGAACCTAATGTCCATCCCAGGAGAATATGGCTCATTGATGTATTTATTACTTTGTGCAAGCGGCATGACCTGTTACCTATTTAATGTGGGGAAAACACTCAGCCCCCGCACACATACATGTCACCAAATTCTAAATCTATGTGATCTCAAACGTCAGTGCCTATTAATCTAGAACTTTTAGTTATAATACAGATTCACTGTTCCTAAAATCTGCATTATTAACAAGTCCCCCAGGTAAAAAAAAATATTCTTTGGAAAAGTACTGCCTTAACTCCCAGCTGTTAAGCTCTCTCAACCAGCATGCCTCGCCCCTTTTAGGTGTCAAATAAATTGTATTGTATCAAATCAATGTATTCTCAGCCTTTACAGCTTTAAAGCCCATATTATAACTTCTTGGATACCTAAATATATCAAGCCTTCCAATGAAAAGCAATTTTTTTGAGTTATCCTATATAACAGAATAGCCAGTTGCTATATACATGAGCTTGACTTGAAGTCAGACAATCTGGGGCTTTTTTCTACTTTCTGGACAAGTCATTAGCCCCAATCAAAACACTTATCTTTCTTCATTTTTTTCCATTTACCACACTAGGGCACTATATATAGTATGTCTCCATGGAGTGGGGGTGGGGGAGGGTATTTAAAGATGACAAAAAACACCATATCTCATAAAACCCAATGTAAATATGAATTATACAGTATCCATTTCTTTTAATTTACTGCAAATGGGATTTCTAGATCATAAGTTCCTCCCTATATGATTCTGGGCCTTAAATACTGAGCTAAGTTCTGTAGATAGTTTTTTAATTCTTGCTGCTCTTTTGATTTTTGCTGGTCCTTTAGTATTATTGTGACATATTTACTGACTTATTAATTTACTGCATTAATTTAAAATAAAAATCTGGCAACTTAAGTTAAATACTATGACTAATTATAAGTGACTTTCAATACAAAAGTTTTTAACCCAGATATCATCAAAGGCTTCAAAAATAAACACCTCTGAGAAATTTATAAAAATTTCATATGAAGGCTTTGCTTTAAAGGCTGCTAATAAAATTAATAAAACAAATAATTCACAAATGACTTTTCATATTTTGTCCTAGGCTTCAAAGTACATTTTCTTTTAAAGGTATTTACCTAACTCTTTGCTTACTTATGGTTTTTTTTTCCTTCTGTCCAAAGCATTTTAATCAGAGATAGTTGTCTATAGGTCTCTAACCATATGTTAAAGCCTTCAAAATTAATTATTGAAATCATCTTTATACAGAACTTCAGAGAGTCCAGTTTAGTCTGCAGAGTGACTTGCAAGAAAACAATGTTAGGCTGATATCTTAGAAGCATAACTAATGCGCAGGTGCTCTCTCCCACCACTGGGTAGTAACTTTCTTAAATACTGAACAATGTATGTCAACATTAGGGGATAGAGATCCATCTAAATTGTACATCCTATAAATGCCCCGACATTCGTGCCCATTTATAAGCTTAATATCTCCTCAGGTATTCTTCTCTGAGTAGCTACTTCATATGTTTAGTTGAATCCATAACCCATCAAGCAGATATTAAAGCACATTTATGAAAATACATAGATGCTTAAATAAGTATATATCCCAGACATTAAAATTCTTATGGTTGGTAAAGGAAATATAATACTTTTAAGAGATTTTAAAGTAGTTATTTCCTGATGTCTTTTTTCTCCAAACATTAGACGAAGTTGCATTGTTTACAAAAATTTATTCATACAAATTTCACACACTTCATATAACAGTTATCAAAGACCTAATTATAGATATCATGTGTGTAATACTTGGTTAAGATGTTTTTATAATCATTTGCACACAAAATAAGAGCTTCAAGACTAACATCTACCTAAATTATCACTATATCATAAATCTGCTTTAGGTTAGTAAGGCTCTTGGCATTTCTAAAAAGTATACAAAAGATTAAACTGGATGATCACTGTAAATGCTTGCAACTAGCCACAGAAACACTAAATTAGACTTCATAAATAAAAGGTTAACTAGAGCCCTATTTCACCACTAACAGCTGACACAAATACAGAAAATTCTGCCCATTATCCAAGAAACAAATAATTAAGACTAAAATGCAAGCCGATGTGTTGCAGCATTGTAGGGCCACTAAATAGCCATCTGTGATTCGTGGCGATTTAAAAGGCAAAGAAAGGCACTACAGCTGCAAACTGCGTCCCAGGTCACATTGCCTGAGGAGACTGCAGAATTAAAGAAAGATTGATCCCATACACAGGACTCAGGCATAGATCGAAAGCCTCTGTGCTTTCACTGTCTGCAATGTGATCTCCTGGCAGCATCCATCCCGCCTGGGAATGCAAATTCAATTCTGTTTTCTTTGATTTATGACTTCATACTGATCAAATCCGTAAAGGAAAAGGAAAGGTCCTTTAGACTTTACAAGCTAATGTTTAATCTTTTCTTGTTGTTCTTCTTCTTTTTCAAAAGAATCTGTGCCTGAAATCTGGGAGTTTGTTTTGCGTGTTGTTGCTTGATCTGGTTGTTGGGTGAAGGTTCTTTTGTTTATAGAGAGTACTTGATATGTTCAAGAAATTGATAGGAAACAGACAGACATGCTTTTTGTAGCCAAGAAAGGATACAAAGGGGAGTTCTCAGGGTCTGGTGGAGCTTGTTTGCCTTACTCTTGACCACAAATATAAGATAGTACTCATACATAAGACGAGTTTTAAATGATTTATCAGTTAGTAAAACTGAGCAACATGTGAACACTACACATTCTACTATGACAAAGGTTGGTTTATGAAATAAATTTTACTAAGCAATAAGCCATAATGTAGAAAAATACATTTTACCTACAAACTCAATAAACAAGAAACAAAAGGTTCATATTTAGTGCATCATTACTTAGTGATAACTACACAGGGTTTCCTAAACTTTACAATAAGCGCTTGCATCAAACAACAACAAAAGTGAGACACATTCACAAGTTTAAGAGAAGTGAATGAAAATGGTAACCAGTACTTAAACAGCGCAAGAGGGTAGGAAGGCAGAGTCTTCAGGAAAAAGAACACCAAAGAAAAGGGTGGCTCCTTCAGAGCAGGGTTCAAAGGGGAGGATCCTGGCCATTTCACAAGATGAGAAGCATGGACAGCACTGGAGAAAAACACATTGTACTTTGCATCCATTTCAAACACCCAGCACCCAGTCAGTCAGGCTGGGGACCTAAGGTGGGGACTCGGCTTAACCCCAGCATCCCAGATCTGGGGCAGCCCCAAAAGAGTCCCTCTCCAGGGTCCTCCTCCTGCTGCCTTATGCTCTGCCTCTTCCAGTATACCTGCATTGCTTTCACTTTGTTCCAATTGTCCTAACCTTGGGATAGTGGGTTTCCTGGAAGTACAGAAAAGGGAGCTCGTACTCCAGTCTCCCTTCTCTGTATAATCTCCCAACTCCTGCCCCAGGGAATGGTGTGAATTCTGGGGAGAAGCACAATTTAGATAGAGCTGTTGTTTTATCGGGAGAATTTCCTTGTGGGCTGAGAGTCCAAAGAGAGACAAATACACATAAAAGTAGAATCAAAGAAAGCAGAAGTATTAGAATTGTCACCCAGCAAAGGGGATAGTGCCTGGTTGAGTTGGGCTGGGATTGAAGCAGCCTGCCCCAGAGACTCACTGGGAGAGAATGCCTACAGCAATTCTCCCAAACCATTACCTCAAAATCTCCCTGAAGCAGGGCATCATTGTTTATATACAGTAGCAAATGGTCAGTATTAACATCTTCAGGCCTGTTATGGATAAAAATACTATCCTTTTAATTCCAGTTTACAAAAATAGGAGTAATATTTAAAACAATGATTGTCTATTTTTCTATCTATTTTATATAAATACATAAACAGCTCAGGTGAATTTTCAATCCTGGTGCACATTTTTATGAACTGCTCTCTATTATACTTATATATATTCTTAAATATATATATTTATAATATATATCAATAATTGGTCCACAAAGTATATCTGTGCATTCTCTAGTGCTTTGTAAAAAGAAAAACAATATTATTATCAAAATATTCATTTAATGGCTTTACTTCATACATAAATAAATGTTTGGATAGAACACATGAGCGATGACTGTTCCAGTTTGTAAGGAAAATGACTTTTCATTGTGTCAGGGTTGTATACACAAGGTAGCTGGTAACTCATCGCTACAAATACGCTATTCGGCGTCCTTTGTTTTTAACTCTTTGTTTATACCTTTTCCCTAGGACAGCAGCCAAGTATTTCTTGACAGCCATTTGTTTCCTGTAGCGGCTGTAGCTGTCCGTGAAGATTCCGTCTGAGTGGCGCTTGGAGAGCGGATCCGAGTCATCTTTTGCGTTATCGCTTCGAATGCCACTGCAAGGATAGGGGTCGGGGAAAGGGTGGCAGGGCGGGAGACACAGGTTCAATAGCTGCAAGGAGCAGGCGGGCCCCACCCCACGAGGGAGCCTGCAGAACGGGCACGGGGTTTTACTACCCTCTGCCTTGCCTTCCCCTGCCAGTAGGAGCTGGAGGGGAGCTGCGACAGAAACCTCTCATTCTCCCTCCCCGCCCAGGATTTCCTGGTGCCATGCTCTTAGGAAAGGGGCCCCTTAGGAGGGTCCGGCCAAATGCACACAATTTAAGCCTAACCTCTGTCCATGCGATATGACCATCCCGTCCATGCGATTGCGCTGAATTGTCCTAATAGAAAATAACAAAAGAGCCCTCAATGCCACATCGGCTACTGCCCTGGAGTTTACATCAGTCCTGTTATTGCTACCGAGTCAGACACAAGCACTCCCCTTCCACATGCTAAGTTGTAAAAACGTGATAATAATACAAGTCGACAGACTGTAGGCATTATTTTTCATCACATGAATTATTTATTACGAAAAATGTAATCTGTTTCCCCACGGGCTTTATTAAAATGCTGCCTTCTGCTGAGAGATGCTCCACGCAGCCCTGTGCTCTGGGTAGGTCTAGCACAAGCAAAAACGGCTTCCCTAGGTGTCCAAAGTTGAGGGTTTGTTGGTTTCAATTTGAATTTACAGTAAAATAATCTTTTAAGGCAAACTTAGAGGAAATTATAGCACATCGTCCCGCGAAGCTTGAAGGTTTTGAATGATTGAGGGGACTATTTGGTTTCTCTTTTTTCAATTCAAAACGGATCAAACTCTCCGGTTTCCCTGCCCATACTTTTCTCTGCTGGATCCCCGAGCTCTCTCGCCAAACTTCAGGTACCGCCTAGTAATCTTCGCAGGTAGCTGGGGGCTGGCCCCGCAGACCCTGCAGATCCCGCGGCACAGACTCGCCCTCAGGCCCACGTGCACGCAGAACGTAGGCACCGCACCGCCCACCCCGCGCCCGCGCTCCAAACCGACGCCCACCTCGGCGCGCGCGCGCCACCTCGCGCCCATTAACTCTTTCACAAACTCTTACCCCACGCCCTTGGCCACGAGCTTCTGCAGTAATTTCTTGCGAGACAGCTGGTCCAGCACTTTGCGGTAGGCCTTGTGAAGGATCGCGTGGGCCACATCTCTAAGGGTAGGCAAAGTGCGCGCCCAGGGTCACTGCCTCTGTCCCCCAGTAGCTGCCCAGCTCCCCCATCCGCCACCCCCCGCGAGGCACCCTCGCCTCTCAGCGCTCCGGGAAGCTGCCGGGAAAACCCCAGGGGCCCAGAACTCCCGAGTAACTTTCTTGGCACGCTCCCATGAGTGACTGCCAGGAGCGGGAATTCCTCTTGCCCTCCCAGGTGGCAGGTGTGGAGCCTGGACTCCTCACCGACCGGCCGGGCGCGCATTCACTGCCACCCCTTGACCACAGACCTTTCGCGACTAACTTTCTGTCGCTGTCGTAGGCACCTGGGAGAAGACAGCCTGGAGGACTTTTATGAAAAAGAACCTACGAGGTGGGCCAACACCTGCCCCTCCCCTCCCACAACCTCAGTCCCGGGTGCGGAGGCCGCACGGTCAGTACCTTATCTCCCCCGGGTGGTTGAGCGCGTGGGTTTCGCGGTGCACAGAGGCGGGTCTCTCTATGCGGGGCGGCTCCAAGTCATAGAAGTTTTGCAGCTGGTTTCCGTCCTCGTCGTACGCCTCATCCTCCGACCTGCAGGGGTAGCCCGGGGCAGGAGTGCTCAGTACCAGTGCCTCCGAGGCTCTGCGAGGACCCCCAAAAATGGGCTCTCTCTGCTTTTTCTTCCTCCTAAAAGGTCTCCCACGGAGAACTGCCTATTCATCCCCGGACAGGGGTCGAGGTCGAGTAAGGAGGCGGGGGGAACTACATCCAAATGAAATTCCCACCCCGCGAGGCGGCTCTCCCAATCCTCCTTGTGCGGGTGAAGGGTCGCCAAGCGGGGCCGCAGCCATCCGGGGCACCGGGAAGCCGATGCGTCTCCGCCGACCACGCACACCTGGTCTCGGAACAGGACCGGCCCGCTGCCCGCCTGGTGTCTGGGCCTCCCCGACAAGCCGCGAAGGGCCAGTACGAGAAAGATCCTAAGAGACTAGGCGCTGGCCTCGGAGATCCAGTAGAGGAGGCCAGGGTGGGGGGATGGGGGTGTACAGCGGCCAACTCCGGCAACCACCCGCACCCAGCCTCTGCGCCCAGGGGAGCCCTTTCCCGCACAGATGTAGGTCACGGAGAACCACCGGCTTCTATTTTGGGCCGGAGAGGATCTGGCAGGAACGCGAATAATAAGATGCCGCTAAACTTGTTTGGCGGCGGCTCATTCTGTGGCAGGTCCGTGCCCTCCGTTGCCTCTCGCCCGGGGAAAGGGCCTTTGGAAATAGCTGGGTGGTGAAATGGGGTTTTTTAAGTCCACCCAAAAAAGTGTTCTCGTTTATCTGTTACGATGGCGAGGCGACGGGACCGCATCTCAACCTTGAGGACCGGGAAAATGGGCACCAGGGGACCGAGAGCCATTAAGAGCGCCGCGGCCTCGCAGTCGCCCTTGCCTACCGCTTCTAGCCTTGATATAGGACGGGGAGAGGGGGGTTAAAACACCAAAACTCCTCACTTTGGGCCGCTACAGAGACCCGGAAATCGGCCCGGGCAAGCCTCGCTCCCTGGGAGGGGTTCAAGTCTCGTGTCCTTATTCCGCACTCCTTTCCTTCACCCCTGGAGAGGTAAGGGCGAGGCACGCACACCCCTTTGCCTGCCTCGCGCCCAGCCTTTCTCGGGCGACCCACCTCGGCCCTGGCCGGCTGGCCGGAGCCCCGGGTCCCGCTGGCCACCTTCACCCTTCCCTGTACCCAGAAGCTGGAGTCAGAAACCTTCTCTCGGGCCAAATCAATGGTCAGCGGCCCCAGCGTTTCGGGGCGCGGCTCGGAGAAAGAGCTTTGCAGGCGGAACTCGCGCTCCTCGCTGCCAGGCGCCGGGTGCACGCTGGGGCGCGGGCGCAGAGCTGCAAAGCGAGCTTTCACTCACCGGGTGACCCGTGGGGCATTCTAGGGCTGAGAGGGGGAACCCGACTGATTAGAAACCAGGATTAAGAAGAAGAAGAAGAAAAAAAAAGCCAAGCGTACTGCGCCCGGGGCGGGCAGGGCTGTCCAGATCCTGCCCGCTGCTTGCTTTCTCTTCCCCGCTCCCTGCATCCATTGCACCTGTTTCTCCCTCTCCCTCTCGGACTCATTCTTGTTCTTCCTTATCTCAAATCGCTTTTCCTTAACCGTACCCAGCCAACACTACCCTTCCTCAAGACAGTCTGAGACTCGAAATGCAGTCGGAAAATATCCCTTGAAAGAAAGCTCTTCCAGGAGGAAGAAAGAATTGGAAATAGGTGAGAGAGACCCCTCCGCGACCGTGCGTAACCAGCTGCAACAAAGCGAAATCCCTGGGAGCTTCACGCTCAGCCTTCCCAGCCGGCTTCGGGCGCCCAGGTCCGCCTAACTCCAGCGGAGAACCGGGCGAAGTCAAGCTCCAGGCCATGCCCGGCCCCCTCCCGCGGGCGGGGCTGGAGGTGGATGGGTTTCTCCTGCCAGAGGTTGCGCGCTCGGTCCACCGGGGCCCCTTGGCTGCCTCGGGCTGGGGGAGGGGCGCCAAGCCCAAGTGGAGTCCGCGGGGTCCTCGAGCTCAGCCGGGGCCAGGGGCCCGCCGCCCGCTGCCCGCCCACCCAGGCCGGCGGCGGCTCTCTGGAGCGCGTGGGGAGGTGGTCGTAGCAGGGACCGAGGAACTGCAGGGGGACTGCGAGGAGGTGCCGAGGGAAGGGAAGCCCAGCCTCCGTTCGTCCGGGCAGCCAGCACCTACCTGATCCCGGGAAACGGGAGCCCGGTGGTGTCCGGTGAGCAGTACACGCTGCTGTGCATTATTATCCCGTAGACCAGCAGGGCCAGCCTTGTTCCGCTACACATGGCCATTCTGTGCGGGACGGGAAAGAGGGCACACAGCTGTCAGAAGGCCCCTGGCCCGCCACCCTCCAGCCCCAAGAACTCGCGGAGCTGGGGGTCCGGAGCGAAAGGCTCCCGGCGTGGAATACCCCTTAGTGACAGCCCGAGCTCGCCCCGCCACTTCCTTCTCTCTGTAGGTAGTTAGAAACAGATCTAGGCATCGCCAGACCTGGTGCGAAGGAACACGAACTAGGACCCTCATGCCGGCAAAAGGTTCAGCAGTCAAGTGAGCCGCCTGGTTGGGAAAGACTCCCTCCCCCTCCCCCTTACCATTCAGTTCTTACCGCCGCTAGAAAGGATTTGCTGCCAAGTAGGACGGTTAGCAAAGGGTTCCTCCAAGTTTCTGCGCTGGAGTCACAACGCAAGAGGCATCGCCGTCTGGTGTTAGTGTCTGGGGGGGAGGCCGCAGGAACGAACAGGAGCAGCAGGAGGAGCTGGAGGACTTGTTTGCTGCGGCCAGGATTCTGTTCAAAAGTTTGTAGACGCACAGAACTAGGAGGGAGCGTGACACCGAGAGAATGGGGCGAGGAGAGAGAGATGTCGAAGGAAGAAAGAGGAGGCGACAAGCTAAAGTGGGGGTGGAGGAAAAAGTGACCTAAGTCCACCGGGAGAGAGAAGGAAGTGATTAAGGAAAAGAGGGGGAAATCCAAGGAGGAGAGGAAGGAAAAGAAAGAGGGCCAAGGCGAAGCCGGCGTCTGGGGGAGCCGCCGGGTCAGGCAGCTTCTTGAGTAGGCAGTGCCTCCTCCGCTCCGAGGCCCCTCTGGCTGCGGCTTCTTCTGCTACCGCCGGTGGTTACAGAGGTGACCGGCCCTCTGCTCCTATTTATATAGGCAGTGGGCAGAAATCTATCTGAACATGGTTTGAGAAGAGACTTCTTTGTCAACATCTGTCTGCCTGTGGCCTTTAAGTACTGAATATTTTGTTGCACTGTTGCGCTCATGAAATGACTTCCTTTTCTCTCTCTCTCTCTCAGTCACGCAATGATCGGGTATCAGAAAAAGACGTCAGCATCCTAGTCCCTCAAGGAACATATTAACTATTCTGTGCTGTCCTCTTGGATGATGAGATCTAGAGTCATCCACTTCCCATAAACACCTTTCACTCACATAATCCAATTTTTAGGAAGTCCAATTATTTTGATGGTTTTCAGTTTTACCCTTTCCTCCAAGATGGGTGAAGAATTCATAGAATTTAGGGCATGCAAAAGTCATGTTTTTAACGATGTTCCTACTATTTCTCTCTACTTTTCATCAAGCCCCAGCAATCAGAGCTCTGATCTCTGGAATTAAGCACCATCAAGCTCTCCTATTAATACAGTTAATTTAATCTCCTAATTTCTTGCGTATGTTCTTTCAGATAGACAATTAAATGTGGAAGTCGTTTTGTTTTTAAAGGGAAGTCTTGCAGGATTTTCAGTAAATTGCTAATGAGTCTGGCCGTCGTTGACAGTCTGGCTATGAGTGGATTAATTAGAGTCAAGCTGCATCCAGAGCCTGGCTCTGAGCACTGAACCTGTTTGGTCACAAATGCTATAAACATTGAAAATTGCCCCTGATTCCATCTTTCACCACCGCCTCTAAACCTGAGAATTTGGCAGTGATGCTATTTAATGTGGCAATTCATTGCCCAAGTACCCTACTCTTCAGATACTCCCCTTGCAGTGTCTATAAATGCCCTGAAAGCAGAGAATGGTCCAACCATTCTAGATTTCAGTAAAGAGCATTCTATGTCTCCTGTTAGGACTGGATTTAGAGCTCTAGATATGACCTATTTGGACACTTTCACACTTCCTGAAGCTCTTACTGAGTTGAAGAATTGAAAGTGCGAGATTGTGCTTTCCACAAAAATTCAAATTTTAAGAATTTTGGAGTGAGGAATGTTTTTCCCCTTTATTTACAACATGAGTTGTAAACTGGGAAAGTACAAGGATTCCCAGTACAAGTTCACCTACTGAGGGTTTCTAACAGGAATCCCTCTGTTGGGGCCCGTAAAAAAAAAAAATTTAACTGAAAATGAGGTGGGTGGGAAGAGGCGAGCAATAAGGGAAGACCACAACACCAGGAGACTTCCAAGTCCCTGGGTAATTTAAGAAGATTTGTAAATTTCTATTCCAGTGAAAGAACTCGGGTCTATTTCTTTCAAAAAGGAAAGAGAGTCATCAATAACCATTAGTGTGTGCATGTTAATTATTTGGATCTTAAAAATTCGAGGAAATGGCAATTTAGTGAGAGTGTTTCCTGTTCACCCCGATTTGGAACTAACATTTAAATAAGCTATATTAGTTCTGCATACTTTTTCTAAGACAAAATTATAATGCTTCGTGTCAATGCCTTTCTTGCTCTCTTATTTGAGGTTTAATTCTTCCTCCAAGAAGACAAAGTTTTGCTTATTCCTCTCCATTATTGACTAGAAACTGCCACTTCCTGTTCGTTTATTCCTGGGGATGCCCCAGATTGCTTGCCTGCAATTAAGCTTCAGACCACATCTACATGGAGATGTATCTCTTTGTCTCTACTGCATATGTTCACTGATTTATGCTGGAGTGTTTGCATGCGTGTCTTCCGTGTTCAGCTCTCCCTCTTGAGTAAGCTCACACAGAGTGGGAGGTGAGCACCACCGATAATCAAGCAGATATCTTTCTTACAAAAGCGCCCAAGGCTATTACGGACTCTGGCTTTCGTGTCTTCCGCCTTGCTTCACGTCAAAGATGAGCTCCATTAAAATCCTTATTCTTTCCTCCCACGCGAATTCTGAAATGAATTCAATCTGTAGAAATACTTGAAAATTTCCAAGTCTCCTTGTACAAATTCACTATTCAACTTTAGTAAAGGGAGCCACCATGTGGGGAGTTTGTTGACTTCACGGCTTCTTAAAGGGGGGAAACCACAAACACCATTAACTCGGTGGGGAAGACAGACGGTGGAACTGCTGGCCCCACAGGCCTGCAAGACTGAGCTGCACCTCTGGCTTGCGAAGGCTGTGCCACTTCCCCTCTCCTCAGTGAAGCACTCTCAGAGGAGCTCCGGGCCTGATGAAGTGAGAGGCTAAGTAGAGAATTTAATTTGAGATTTTTAGTCACTGAACTCCAGAAAAATCTAGCTTTGGAGACCCACTCACTTCTCAGTACAATCTAAAGATCTGTCCAGCCCCCTTATACACAGCTTGCTTGTGGGACAGGATCATGCTGCAGGTCTTTTCTGCCATTTAGTCTCTGATTAGGTGAGTTTGGTGCCAGTGGGAAGGGAAGCTTTCCTGTTCTGGAAAGTTCTGGCCCTGGGCCAGGGGAAGTTGGAAGGCTGAGGGAGTAAACTAAAGGCTGAGGACCGGTGGAGAAACTGCGGGAGTCTGGGGCTGCACCCCTGCCTGACCAAATCTTCAGGCCATTTTTGCTTTCTTTTCAGTGGAGGGAACCGAGGGGCAATCGAGATCTCAATGACTAAAACTACCTCCAAGAACTCTCGAAGATGGGAATTTCCTTCTAAGCTTGGGAGAATTCTGTCAGGCTGCAGAGGCCCGGGAGCAACCCTATTGTGGGACAGGGCGGTACCGACTTGTTCAATACAAATGCAGGCACCAACCTGGCTTACTGTGAGGGATGGGGCCTGGGCGGGGGAACCTGAGGACTCCCACCAAAGTGCCCTGTGTGGGTGGAGAAGGGAAAAGGGGAGAGAGTGTGAGAGGGTAATTGGGAGGGGCAGGAAAAAGGGGAAGAGCCTTCCAATTTTATCCTGTTCTTACCGGGCTTCTCTCCCAAGGGGATTTTTACATCCTCCTGAAATGATTAAGGTTAAGAGCCAGAGAGACACCTTCAGATGTCCTATATGTGCTTGAAAATGACATGGGGGAAAGAGGGAGAAGATGAAGAAGGGACCAAAGAGTTAAAACTTCCTATTTATAGACAACGCAAAGAAGGAACGTTAGCCCCACCCCTTATCCAATAGCCCCAACCCTTATCCAATAGCCCCACCCCTTATCCTAATGTTCCACAGGCTAATGGAATTCCCAGGCCATGGAAGTAGAGAATGGCATGTAACTGGAATCATGTTCAGTTAGAAAAGTTGGTGGGACCACGGACATCTTCAAATTGGAAGATTTCATCCATGTCCTCTGTCATGCCAAGGGACCTGAGGGAAGGAGTGACCCAAAAACTGCTTGGATATACTTGCTGGAAATGATAAAGACCCTGAATTCCAAGCCCCTAATGTATCAACTCCTTTTTATCCTGTTTGTCCTGAAGGTATGAAAACATAACATTTGGTCTGAAATGGTGAGTATTAGCCAAAAATCTAGCATTATTTTTTTTTTTTCTTGGTCACTGGCACATCTGTCTTCCTTGAAGTGTCAAGACTTTCAATCATTTGGTTTAAAGGACTCTTTAGCCCTTGGAAAAGTAGATTTTGTATTCAAACAGAAGAATATGTCTAGCATAGTCACTGAGTGTTGGAACTTGCAGGTGGCTTGACAACATTAGCAAATACCTGGCATAGACAAGAGCCAGTTCCCTAGGGTAGAGATTTCTACTTCTTTCCTTCTGGCCTAGCTACCCATCCTACACATAGTTTCCATGTGTCCACTTTTTCCCCCTTTCTTTGGGCTATGTAGCCGCTCTCCCCAATGCCTGTGCCATCATCACCCTCACCTCCTACCCCAATGCATAGGAAAGAACATCTGATATGAATATGCACATGGCATATTCATGCATTCCTAGTTTAAATAATACTAAATTGGACTGGGAAAGCCTTAGATTCTATTAATTTCTAATTAGTGCATGGCATATGAATCAGGTTATACTAAGCTTTTTCAAGCTTGATGGAAAACATCATCCTCTCATATGAGTGACAAAAGTAAATTACAACACTATTTTCAATTTCACTCTGAACTTTTTCTCTTCTGATTCTTCCAGGAAATGTGATGACTAATGACTCACTTCATACTGATTCCACCTGTAGGGAAACCCGAATGTTCTGCCTCAGAACATCATCACCATCACTTACTGCACTGCCTGCATCACGCCCTTCTGAACTCACTGTGAAGTAAGGAGCTGATGAGCTTACCCATAATGTGTCATGACTTATATCTCTGACCTTCAGAATTTAGTATTTCACACACTATAAAAGCAACCAGCAACAGAAGTCCTCCCAAATCACATGAGCAAAAGCATCTCTCTCTTATTCAAGCACAGGATTTGCATGTTCACAGAGTCAAGAGATTTGGCCAGTTGTTTTAAGACAAAGCAAATACTCAAGAAGCAAAAACTAGGATCTAACCTCTGCTGCTGGTTTGAGTGATTTCAACTACCTTACAAATAAGGCTCTTGAAGGCTGTGTTCTCTGAAATATTTTGGGAACCAAAAGTATATACCCCAGACTTCACTCTGCAGCATCTGTCAAATTCTCCAGAGATTTCCAGAACATGTCCTCTTAAAAGCCAAGGGGAAGAAAGCCTTCTCTCTAATTCATTCTAAATCCTCTGCTCATATAAGGCTTAAATGCAGGAAGAAAAGATTGGAGAGGATCCAAGAAACTCAATATCCTAAATGAGCTTTTGTGATGGCTTCTGAAAATGTTGGAAGAAAGGTCTATGTGCACAATAAAACAAGGTTTTAACATGTAAATCATAAAAAGGATATTGCTCTACATAGCATTCCAAACCTCTGTCCTCTGAGTTCAGACTCAGCCTTATAATTTGTGAAGATAGGTCTATTTGTAATAATTTTGAAGCCTCTGAATTTTATTATCCTTATTACTTGCACTTTGTAGTAATAATAATAACTGCAAATATATAGATATGACTTTGAAAAAAGCTATCATCTGCTTGGAATACAATTATATTTGCCATGAGTTTGCTATTTGAAAACTTCCAGTTATTATTTATTAAAATTCTCTTAAGTTCTTCCAGTGGGA